TTTCCATGCCTGAGATGCAATGCCCTCACATCTCATCTCTATTTAAATTTGCTCATTGTTCTGGAACCAGAGTATATCTATAGGAAAACTTCTTCCCATAGTTAGCCCAACTAGAAGGAAGCTCAAGTCCTTTACTCTGAGCTTCTCTCCACCCCCTGATGCATCCCTAATGAGGTAAACATCCATTGGTAAATAGAAGAATTGAGAATATATGGCTCAGTTCCATACTCCTTCTTCTGGGTAGCTTCCTGCCCCATTCAGTGCAACCAGCTATGGCATGAATCTTAGGGGTTCATTGTTAGAAGCCCAAATTAGCTAAGACTTTAAAATGCATCTGTCAACCTGTCTTTTATCAAGAAAGAAGGTGAGCCTGGCCAATATCAGTGGTTGAGCATTGGCCTATGAACAAGAGGTCACAGTGAGATTCCCGGTCAGGGTACTTGCTGGGTTGTAGGCTTGATCCCCAGTGTGGAACTGCAGGAAGCAGCCAACCCATGATTCTCTCTTGTCATTGATGTTTCTATCTCTCCCTCCCTCTCCCTTCCTCTCTGAAATCAATAAAAATATATTTTTTAAAAAGGTGACATTTTGGCCTTCATCTTTACTATTTCTCAACTTGTATAGAACCTAGGAAGGCCTTTTCAGATGCCCCTACATACACGAATGTCTAGCTCTTCTTTAAGAACCTTACTGACTACGCTGGGCATTGTGTGAATGTCTCTGAGTGTACTTAGCCATCATCAGCTAGACTGTAAATTCTTTCTGAACAGGAAACATGTTTTTTACTTATTTATATTCTACGCAGGATTTAAAGCATTTGATAGTACATGCTGATCATTTGAAAAAGATGTAGTATTTTTCTCCTGGGAACTACTCTGTATAATACAATGAATCACAGCATTGTAAACATATATTTTTATAGGGATGAGCAATCAGACATCCTATATAATAAAAGGCTAATATAAAAATCGACCGAACAGCAGAACAACCGGTCACTATGATGTGCACTGACCACCAGGGGGCAACGCTCAACAGAGGAGCTCCCCCCTGGTGGTCAGTGCACTCCCACAGAGGGAGTGCTGCTTAGCCAGAAGCCCTGAGCCGGGCTCACGTCTGGCGAGCACAGTGGTGGTGGTGGGAGCCTCTCCCACCTCCACAGCAGGCGGACATCCCCCAAGGGCTCCTGAATTGTGAGAGGGTACAGGCCAGGCTGAGGGATCTGCCCACCCCCTGAGTGCACGAATTTCATGCCCTGGACCTCCAGTCCTTAATAATTAAAAAATGACACTGTGGATTATTCCCTCCTAAGTAAATATTTATAAAAGGCATTGCATGCTTTCCAGCCTTACTAAATGTCATATGCCCAACTGTACTTACCTTTCTTCATTGGCACAGTGTTACCAACATGATCAGTTATGTTATCTTACCTTACTAGAGATAAGCTAGAATAAAGACGTCTACTCAGTTGATCAAAATAGAGAAAACTTACCCAAAGTGGCCTGAGAGAACAACATTGAGAGGACACAAGTTTGGAGCTAGAACAATAGTGCTTATCATGAAATCCCAAAGGACTAAGAAAGGGCAGTGAAACAAGATGTCACTATCAGCAGCTAAGGGATTCAGAACAAGAATCAGGATTAAGAATGGGTCTAATAGAATGGCTTAGAACAAGTATGATGATGATGCTCATTTCCTACTTCCAGGAGTGAGGGTGTGTCTTAAAGAACTTAAAGGGATGCTCAGCATCTATGTCAGCTTGCAAGATTAGAAAGTTTTATCAGGTATCTCTCTCTCTCTCTTTTGGTAAGATTAAAATGTGCAAGATAGTTTTGCCATTTTGCATGGGCTCAAAAGGAAAAACAATGTCATTAATTTGGTCCCCATTCCTTGTAACAGAATTTAGAAATTCCTTGTTTTGTGTGGTAAAATTCTATGTGATTGCTATTATAGTGAAGTGTTGGTGAATAGATGATAAAATAGATACCGAAAAAGGGCTTCCAAGGTTGCTATACATGCATTAGTTCCAGATTCTTGAGGAAGAGGGCAAAACCACCATTTCTTCCCTAGAGATTTCTCAGGTCAAACTGCATGTTCTGAAGACAAAATACTAACTATAACACCAGCTACTTTTTATTGAATACTGTCTATTTGCCAGGCACTGGGCTAAGTGCTTACATTTATTATCTCCCATTATTCTCTGAGGTGTACTGCTATTAGCATTTCTGGTTTGCAGATAAGGATGCTGAGGCTTAGAAGGGTTGCGTGTGTTAGATATTGTTTATTATTTATCTGATGTCTAGTCTCCCTTCTTCTGTGCATAGAAAATAGTTTTTTTTAAAATTATTTTTGTAGACTGATGATATGCTTAGCCCTAGAAAATAGTACTTGTGCCTTGGCCCGGTAGCTCAGTTGGTTAGAGCATCATCCCCATAGCCAAGGTTGTAGGTTCAATCTCTGGTCAGGGCATATACAAGAATCAGCCAATGAATGAGTCACTAAGTGGAACAACAAATCAATGTTTCTCTCTCTTTCTCCCTTTCTCTCTCAAAATCAATTAAAATTTTTTTAAATAAAATATTTGCCTAAGGCAGCAATCAACTCCCTGATTTCCCAAACTTACCTCCCTTTCAGGTAGAGATGTTCATGTGACCCAGATGAGATATAAGGATGCTTAAGAATTCTGGGAAATTTTTCCCTTTCTGATAAAGGAGGACATGTTGGCATTCTTCCTTCCCTCTGAGTGCCAATGTCAGAGCTGGAACTATAGTTGGAATAATGTCATAGCTGAACTATCTTTTGACCATGAGAGAATGATCTAAATTTTCTCAGAAAGCCTATTATTAAGCTGCTGGGCCAATGAAGCAACCATGGATCTCTAAACCTTTTAATAAAAATTTGTCATTGTGGTAGGGATTTCTATTATTCATAGCTAAATGTAACCCTGACACAGGGATTTTCTGAAAATGAGATATAAGATGTGAAAGCATGTCAATGCAAGAGCTCATAAATGAAAAGCCATGCCTGTTTACTCATGCCTATTGAGAACTGTAATAATGCAAATAGAAGATAAATAAGACTGATTCCTTGTCTTCAAGAGTTAGCAATAGACACAGTATAACATTAATATGTTAATATAGAAATAGCAGATTACATAAATGCTGAGGTCCAGGATAAAAGAACAAAAATATACAGATTAAAATCAGCTACATATAGGCATTCAAGGGAGTGACTTTTTTAAAAATATTTTTTTATTTCATAGAGGAAGGGAGAGGGAGAGATAGACACATCAGGGATGAGAATCATTGATCGGCTGCCTCCTGTACATCCATCCCCCACTGGGGATCAAGCACACAACCCGGGCATGGGCCCTGACTGGGAATCGAGCCATAACCTCCTGGTTCATAGATCGATGCTCAACTACTGAACCACACTGGCCAGGCAAGGGAGTGACTTTTGGGCTAGTTCTGCTTAGGAAAGTAGTATCAATTAGTAGAATATAGTGACAAGACTAAAGGCCTGTAGATGTTACATATAAAAGAGTAAAAATAAGAATGAGGATGCATAAAACAGACAAGCATATTTGCTTGGCTAGAGCAAAAAGTCTGAGAATAATTTGTAAAAGGTTATACAAGAGGCAGGAAAGAAGTATGGCTCTGAAGGGCTGCCAAAGGACTTTGGGTTCATATATTTGATAAATTTATATAGGAAATATAGAATTAGTATACATATTTACAGAAAGTTACTGATGAAACATTGTTTGTATACCTTTATTTTAAAATAAAGACCAAGGGTCCATCTGGGAGTTTCCTGCAATTGGCCTAGAATGATGTGAATTGGGTGAAACCAAAAGTGATAATTAATGTGGAATCTGCAGGACTTGAGGTTACTGAGTATGAAAAGATGAGAGGAGTAAAAATTACACCAGTTAAACAACTGACAATTTCAAGAAGAAAAAAATCACTTTTTCTTAACAGTTCGGTTGACTTAAAAAAAAAAAGAAAAGAAAACTTATGAGAAGTAGCATCCTATTAGTCACTGAATGCTGCCTTAAAAAAATATGCACTATCTTAAAATAAATAGTAAAATTCCTTTGCTTTGTCTTTGGTAAACACCTGAGTATAACAATAGTTGGATGGAGCATTGTCATTCATTCTCCTTTTATTGAGGCTACCCTCGATTTCATTTGTCTTCATATCCATCTAACATGTGATTCTTATAAATGTTAACAGTTGAAAACAAACAGCTGGCTGAACTCTCTGCTTCAGTCTTTTGGATAATTTGCTTCTTGGTGAGTGATCAGTATTTTGATACTGCCGTAGTAACAACAGGAAATGATCTGTTAAAATCTGGATGGCCAACTACTGATCAATGCCAGGGTAAAGAGGAGAGCTAGTCTCAGAATAAAGTCTATAAAAACAGTTTGGGGAATTATTTCCAGGACCACAGGAGGAGAATCGTAATTTGCTCTCAACATTGGAAAAGCAAATGCCTAGTGGAAGAACATCTTAGGGTGATCACAGAACTGCATCAATGGGAAGCTGACAGCCACAAATGCAGTACTTACTAGTAAAAAGACTGCCATGGTAAACGCTAGGGCTACAATTACACATGATGTGAAATACCAATTTCTGAAACAAGAATTCACTTAGAAAAAGGTTTCATAAGCAGGTAGAACTCTCCTAAAATTGGTCTAGATAATAGTACTAAAAAATAATTTTAACTTTTCAGTTGGCCATTGATTATAGACTTTTTCTTAGATTTATAGTTGGGGAAGATCTAATTAATTAGCTTTTGGATTTGTGCTGATATAATAAATCATTATCATGGATAATTAATAAACTAATCCTCAAGGATTTCTTCATCATCATCTTCCTCTCTCTAAAGCTTTCTGGACAGCACTGCACAGAAACAGATGTGACTAAATGGCAGACCACAATGCAAATTTTGCAAATTTTATCATTTTAAAAAGGTACCTAATTAAATAAACCAATTACCAATAATTCAATAAAAAATAATACATAAGCCATTTTATTAAGAAGTTTATATAGTAACAATTTTCTAAAACACTAGAAACATCAAATATTTGTATTTGAGTCATAAAATTTTATTTGTTGTTGTTTTTAATCCTCACCTGAAGATATGATTTTCTTGATTTGAGAGAGAGAGAGACATTGATCTGTTACCTGCTATATGAGCCCTGACTGGGATCAAACCCACCACCTTTTGGTAGGGACAACGCTCTAACCAAATGAGCCACCTCGCCTGGGTAAGTCAAAAAAATTTATACTCATTAAATTTATGCTGTAGTGTATTAATCTGTACTAAATTAGTAGTCATAATGGCTAGAAGAACAGAAGGCATTATGTCTAAAATTTTCAAGAGTTGTCCATGTTTTAATTGTTGGAACCTTTTAAACAAGAGTAAATGTACCAAACATCACTTGATACCAAACATACAAATCACCTGTTTCAAATTAACTGTTGTTACTTAGATATAAACAATGATAGTCTGGATTCAAGAAAAGGCATGAAAAGTGAATAACCAGCTGATATTTCAATAGTCTTTCTTTCCGAAATTCCACCTCCTTCACAATGTCTATTTAGCTTTACCTCTAATTTCCTGGACAGGAAGTCAATTCTCTTCTCCTCTACACTTCCATTCAGCAATTCGAGATATTACCACTCTAATTTCTCATTTGGTTGTTCAGAGGCCTATTATTTCCCCTAGTAGGGCTGAAAACAACTAGAAAACAAGGTCCACATGAGATTTATCTTAGTTTCTTTATTACATCTAATTCAACACCCAGTATTTATTAGTTTGATGTTTTTTTAAGAGTTGTCTATTATGCCCGATCGATATGGATCAGTGGTTCGACCCCCAGCCTGGTCAGAGAATGCACAGGAGGCAACCCATCGATGTGTCTCTCTCACATTGATTTTTTTCTCTCTCTCCCCACTCCTTCTTTCCCTTCCACTCTCTCTAAAAAAATCAATGGAAAAAAATATCCTTGAAGATTAACAACAACAAAAATTAGTTGTCTATTAGTGTTCAATAAACTAGTATGTTTTAAAATTCCAGTTTTATGCAGTTTCTTGTAACAATACTTCCTCAGCTAATAAACTGACTTAAAAGTTTTATACTTAGATTAGATGTAACATTTAAAAATTCAAATCTTATAAATGCCATTTAATACTAAAAAATGTATACTCGTTACAAATGAATCAGTGAATTTGTTGTTTCATTAACTGTTAAAATGGCTTTTTAATCTTTGTTTTTAATTCTCAAATCCTATACAGTAAGAAATAAATTTATCCATGTTGCATGCATTAATTGTTCATTCATTTTTATTGCTCAGTAGTATTCTACTGTATGGATATACCACAATATTTCTATTATCCTATTAATCAATACTGTGTTATTTTCAGTTTTGAGATTTTACAAATAAACCTACTATGAATATTCACATACAAGTCTTTATATAAACATAAGCTTTCTTTTCTTTTGGGTAAATAACTAGGAGTGGAATGGCTGGGTCCCATAATTAGGTGCATGTTTAAGAAACTACCAAACTGTTTTCCAAAGTGGTTATGCATTAATTATATCCTCACCAGCAGTGTGAGGTCCAGTTCCTCCCTATCTTTGCTAACCATTGCAATTGTCTTTTTAATTACAGCCATTTTAAAGGCTATGAAATAGTATCTTATTATGGTTTTAATTTGCATTTCACTAATGTCTAATGAACTTTAGCACTTTTCACACGCTCATTTACAAGTCATATGTATTCCGTGGTAAAGCGACTGTTCAAAACATTTGTTCACTTTTAATTGGATTGTTTTCTTACTGTTGAGTTGTAAGAGTTCTTTATTCTAAATACAAATCCTTTGTCAGATAATCTGTACTTTCAAAAGAGAAATGCAACACTTTTAGATAATTATGCTTTGTTATTATAACACATAGTCTATCTGTACTTTAAATAATCCTTATAATAAGGTTAAGCATTATCTCTGTAATCCTCGGGTACCAACTTTTCCCAAGCCTAATATTTAAGACTTCAGTCTCTCCAGTAATGCAAGAACCACTACGGATTTTTTCCCAAACAAGAGCCAATCTGGAGAAGTTCTGTGGCTAAACACCCTCCCTAAAAGTGATAGATATAGAAAAACAGTATGCAAAATAAAATCTACTCATTTTAAACCTTGGACAGAAAACATATTTAAGCTCCTCTAGTGTTTTTTTTTTAATATATTTTTATTGATTTCAGAGGAGAGGGAGAAAGAGATAGAAACATCAATGATGAGCATCACCAACTGGCTGCTTCCTGCATGTCCCACACTGGGATCGAGCACTCAACCCAGGCATGTGCCCTGACTGGGAATCAAACCGTGACTTCCTGGTTCTTAGGTCGATGCTCAACCACTGAATCACACCGGCCAAGCAGTTCCTCTAATATCTTTTTATATATCAAGAATAATTTCATACATGAAAAAAATTTTCATGATACATATTTATCCCTTGGAATGTGTTATTGTCAAGACACAAACCTGAAACTAACTCGTATAGCAGCACTAGAATTAGGATAACAGCAGATTATACTGGCAATCTCTGACATGGTATCAGGATATAGACAGCCCTAGGGTTACAAGTATCTCATGGAAGTAATTATGATACAATTGACAATATTCCCTAATCAGAGTGGTTCTCATCAGACACTTTATGCTAAGCTTATTTGACACAGTTTTTTTTAAAGGTCCGGTATTAAAAGAATAAGCTTCCTCTGGATTTAAAAACAAGGAATAATTTTGGCTCATTAAAGATAGTATCTATTGATAAAACATAGGCTTGTTCTCAAACATGAAATAAAATTATTACTCTAATGCATGATCATTATATAAAATAATCACCTGGTTAGTAAAAAATTATGCAAATCCTAAAATTTTCAGTTCAACTGGTTTTCTTTTGGAATGAGGAAAAATTTAATGATTGGCTTCAAATTTTTTATTTTTTTAATTGATTTTAGAGAGAGGAAGGGGGAGAGAAAGAAAGAGAGAAAGGGAGAAAAAAAAAACATCGATGTGAGAGAGAAACAGCAATTGGCTGCCTCCTGCAGGCATCTGGACTGGGGGTCACACCTGCAACTGGGTATGTGCCCTGACAGGGAGTCAAACCTGCAGCCTTTTGGTGTGTGGGACAATGCTCCAACACCTGCCAGGGCTCAAATTCATTTTTAATATAAAATATGTGAGTGTTATTATATGTTAAAGAAAATAAAGATAGTATGACCCAAATGTTATTTTTTAAAGCTAATATAAAATACTTTTCAAAGCATACAAAAATTGTAAAACAACTGAGGATTTTTCAATAAAGATACCAGATATATTTACTGACCAGAGAAAACAAAGATATGTTTAATGACTTCTGTTTCCAGGTCACCTTATTGAACGATACATCATGAAATCAATAGTTGTACATCTAGGAAATTTACCAATGGAGCTCTCTTCCACTGGTGTATATATTTTAATTTGTCTCATGTGGGTGTCTCTTCCATTTTGGTGATTGGCTAGAACAGCAATCTGTATCATGAATGTGCGAGTTGGCTTCTTATGGTTATCTGTTAAGGGAACATGAATCCAGCCACTTGGTTCCACCAATTCAAGTTGCTGCCAGGAAAAGAAAAGTCAGATTAGGTTTGTACCCAATGAATATAATTTATTATAATGAATACATTCTAAAGTTGACTTATCTGTGGATAGTGTCAGGCAGGTACTAGACTTATCAAGGTGATCATGTAACTTATATAAATGCCACTATGTTGTATACCTGAAACTAATATAATATTGCATGTCAACTATAATTGAAAAATTACAAATTTTTTAAAAATAGAATAAAAATATAAAGTTGAGTTAAAATTAACCTCTTGCTCATCAAGAGAATGACAGTGTAATAACCATTACCAGTTACTGGACACTTTTACCATGGTCTATTTCTACAGGTGCTAAACACATTACATGTACCATCTTAGTAGGGAGTCTTAGTGTTAGAATTAGACATGTATAAATGTATACATCCAATGGAAGACCATGTTGATAAAAGCAGGAAAATAATCTAACATGCTTCTGATATATTTTATTTCAAGAAATATGCCTAATACATCCAAATCATACAACAATCAGATTCTATATAAATTATAAGAATATTAAGAGAAAATCAATTATTAAATAAGCATTAAACAAAGCTTTCTTTCTTAGGAATAGTAAGTGATTTATCTAGTCTTGATGATGATCTAAAATCTAGATTTTTAATGTTTTTAAATAAGAAATGATAGATTAACTTTTTAAATTTACATTTTATTTTAAACAAAAGTCCAAACTGTCCTTACTTCACAAGGAAAGGAAAACCATAAGCCAAAAGGTAAACCAACATTTCTAAAAGTTTTCCTAAAGTATAAAGTAGTTTCTAAAACATAAACATTGGTTTTTTAATTGCTTAATTAAAGGGTACAAATGAATTATAGAATTGCCACCTGACTCTCCCCCTCCAAGATTGTGACAGTCCACTTCTCCTTGACTACCTTACTGTTTTCTCCCCTCTTCTGTCTGGCTTTAGCGGGGACCAGTGCCTCTATAACTCCAGCAGCGTGAAGGTCCATCGGGAAAATGGGACCCTGTCCAAATCCGAGAATGGCAGAGAAAATTATGGCCAACTGCTGTTCCCCAAGGACCCCAAGACCTACTTGTTCACTACTTTCCTAGAAGACAAGCAGAAGATGGGGCTGTCCTTCTTTGCTGACAAGCCAGAGGTGACCCCGGAGCAAATGGAACAGTTCTATGTCTACCTCACGTGCATGGGCATGGACAAGTCAAAAGTCATATACTCTGATGAGAAAAAGAATCTGTGCCTGCCGCTGGAGAAGCAGCACGACGAGGAAAGGAAGAAGGAAAAGGAGAGGTCCGAGATAGGCACAGCATTGGATTAGGACTCCGGGACTGTGGGGGCCTATCCTGAGACCGCCCACCTACCCTGTGTGCCTAAGTTCTTTCCCTCAGTTGCACCAATAAAGTTTCTGCATTTGGAAAAAAAAAAAAAAATAAAGGGTACAAATGAATTATATATATGCATCACAAAAAATATAGGTTTATCTTATCAAGACAGTCAGATGACAATGAGTGTCAAAAACTCTAACTCGGGGTTCCGTGAGTTACTCTAGAAAAACAATTAAATAAAAGCCATGATCTCTTCCTTTTTCTTCCTTTTCTTTTATCTTCTTTCATTCTTTCTCTTCTCTTTCCTTCTTTATTCTTTCTTTGCTTTTTTTTTTTTTAAAGAAAGAGGGTGGGTAGAGATGGGGCAAGAGAACTGTAATGATGTTAAGAAGGTAGTTGGTGTTCAAGACTAAATGATTTCCCGCTTTTAACTACAAAATATAAGAATAATTGAATCTCTACCCCCATGGCATTTCGGTCAGTGACATTTTATAAACTTCCACTAAAACTAACTCAAAATGAGTGCATCAGAAACCAGATATACCTGGTTTCTATCACTAACCTTTTATTCATTCAGGCCACAAATAGTTATTGAACACTTAAAATGTTCAAGGTATTGTTCTAAGTACAGTTAAAGCATACAAAGCATGAACCCAAAGCCTATTCCAAACCTTAAAAAAAAAAGCTTAGAAGTAGACAAACATCCTCTATGGCTTCATTCAATTTCTTCATGCATAAAGTAAAGGGATTGGACAAGTTATCATCCATTAGCCCTTCCAGCTCTGACATTCAATGAGTCTGATTAAAAGAAGAAAGATGTAGTAGGCAGATGCCCACATCATTCCCCCAAACCTGTGAATATGCTAACATAGCAAAAGGGACTCTGCAGATGTAATTAAGATAAAGATCTTGGGATGGAAAGATTATCCTGGATTACCTGGGTAGGGCCAAAGTAATCACAAGGGTCTTTAAAAGAGGAAGAGAGACAGAGATGTGAAGAAGTAAAGGCAGGAGTGATATAACCACAAGCCAAAGAATGTGGGCAGCCTCCAGAAGCTGGAAAAGGCAAGAAATAATTCTTCCAAAGAATCTCCAGAAAAGAATGTATCTTGCTGACACCATGATTTTAATCCACTTGAACCATTTTGGACTTCTCACTTCCAGACCGTAGAGTAATAAATTTGTGTTGTTTTAAGCCACTAAAGTGTGTGGTAACTGGTTATAGCAGAAATAGGAAACTATTATAATAGACTAGAGGTCTGATGCACAAATTGGTGCAAGAGTAGGCCTTCCTTCCCCCGGCTGCCAGCACCGGATGGCACCCAGGACCTAGGCTTCCTTTGGCTGCCAGCAGGCACCCAGGACCCGGGCTTTCCTCGCAGCCCCGGCTTCGTCTGGAAGGTCGTCCGGAAGGATGTTAGCATATTACGCTTTTATTATTATAGAATATACATGGGAGTTTAGAGGAGGGAGAAAGCACTTCTGGTTGAAATAATCTATTCTCCAGGTAAATGTATAATAATGAATCTCAATAATGAACAAAAAGTGAAACCAAGATTCTAAATTCAGCTCCTTAATAATGTAATGTTTTTGACAAATTTAACCATTATTTCTGACAGATATAATGTTATTTTTAGAGTATTTTAAACACTTCAGTGTACAAAAAGCTGTATTAAGATTTTATAACATATATAACTTTTGGCATGATATATTCAGAATTATGAATGTAGTAAATTATTCAATAAATGCAAATAATTAACTATTTCTTCTGAACATATCATAAAGTTTATTGATCTCAATCATTAAAAGTACTATATATTACAAAGAATATATATAAATATGGCTGTTAATGCCTCTCAGATGGCTACACCATCAACTATATTGCTTGGAAGTCATAAACACCAATTCATGTGTCTACTTCACTTCTATTGTGCCCAGTTTGAAATTCTCAAAGTCATCTCTATAAAGTTATTCTTCTTTTTTTTATTTAAGTTACTATTCTGATACTGCCATATTTAAACTTATTTCATAGATTTTTTTAAAAACCTCATGTACCTATAAATTTAAATTTTTGAAAATGATTAAAAGATTAAGATATTTGATGCAAAAAATATTTTTAAAAATATTTTAAACAGAAAATTAACAAAAGGCAAAATTTTGCCAAAATAACTTTTTTCCCCTTGCATTTCTGGTTGAACCTCAATAAATGAAAATCTCATCACCACTAAGATATATTTTTTTATTCCTCATGTTCTTTCTGCCATCTCCCCCTTTTGGCTCCTTTCTCCACACAATCACTCATTTGAAAAATTGTTATTTTTTAATTTTTCACCTGCTAGTTGTCTGTATCCCATTCCAATCTGAATTTTGCGGCCCCGTTGAAACCAATCTTGTCAAAGTCACCTGTGACTCCTCACTTTGCCATATCAATTCTTTAATACAGCTTAATACTATATTCTGGATTTTCCTCATCTAATAATGTGCCTGACCAATATCTATTTGTATTGGAAATTTTTAAGGCTTTTAAAGCTTTATATAATATTGTAGTTTAAACATAGTTTTGTGTATAAAAATATATAACATGGTTTACTAAAGATAAGAGATTTTGTAAATGACAGAAAATAACTGGTAATTCAGTAAAGACATAAATTTAAAGATTGAGAAATTAAGACTTATTAATGCTAAGGCAATAGAATACTTGAAATTGTCCTATATAATTATATCCAGACCGATGACTTCAGGTACCTCAAGTGGATATATGCTGGTGATTTAAAATTTTATATCTCCTTTTTAAGAGGCAACTTCTTATTTTTTTAAATCCTCACCCGAGGATATTTTTTCCATTCATTTTTAGAGAGTGGAAGGGAGGGAGGGAGGAGGAGAGAAAGAGAGAGAAACATCAGTGTGAGAGAGACACATTGATTGCTTCCCTCCCCGAACATGCCCCAACCTGGGCAAGGGATCGAACCTACAACCCAGTTCTGTGCCCTTGACTAGGAATCGAACCCGCAACCATTAAGTCTCCAGGCAGATGCTCTAACCACTTAGTAAAACTGGCCAGGGAAAGAGGCAACTTCTGAAGGTCCAGCAAGGGAACAGCACAGCCCTGGAGTTAATGCTCATCCCTGCTTGCCTCTTCAGTCTTGTCTTGAGTGGTCTTTCATCTAATTTCAGTCATATAATCTGCAATAATGCAAAAATAAATTTATACTATGAAGAAAACTGATTCTGAAAATATTCCAAAGATTAGAGATGGCAAAGAGATATTAACTGTATTTCATTAAAAATGGGTCATCTGTTGTGTGTATCTGCAAAAACAATTTTTTAATTAACTGAAATGAAATGAATTGCTTGAAAAAATAAGAAAACAAGAGATAGAAAATAAGAAATCTGGTAACTCGATAAAGGAGGTACCACAGCTAATAAATGTGAAGTCAGAAGAGAGAACAGAGAAGAAAAATATGAAAGAACCTAAGAGCACCTCCCAGAACTGAAAGACAAGTGTCTCCTCACTGATGGGATCCACTGAGCACCCAGCACAATGACGGAAACATCACACGTGCGCGCGCGCACACGCACACACACACAACTATGGTATAGCTCGTGAAATTTCTAAACACCAAGGATAAAGAGATTATAAATGCTTCTACAAAGAACAATAGGTCACATGCAAAGCATCAAAAATCAAGTGCTCCTTAACATTTACACTGAAAACTATGAGGCAATGGAGAATGTGCTTAAAATTGATAAAAAATGACTTCCAAACTAGAATTCCATACCCAGCCAAATCATCCTCAAGGGTGAGATTAAAATTAAGTTTTCAGTCATGCAAGGCTTCAACAATTTTACCTCCCATGTGGAGTATGCATTCCACCAAAATAGGAAATAAATCAAAAAAGATGACGACCCGGGATCTAGAAAACAAGAGATCAACCAAAGAGAAGGTGAAAGAAACTCCCAGGATGATGTTGAAGGGGTATCTCAAGAAGACAGCTGTTAGTCCAGGTCCTCTGAGAAACAGACACCAAGACATGAATAGATGTACCAGGTATTTATAAGGGCAAATGTCTTTGACTGAAAAGGGGAGGGAGCCAGGGAAGGCTGGAAAAGCTGTCAGACAGTGATGCAGGGCTGAGCCCAGGGGAAGGAGACAGGGAAGGAAGGAAGGCTGGGTGGACCATGTCATACTGCAGTGCAGTTCCAGCAAACGTTGGGCAAGGCTCTCAGGGACTCCTGAAGCCCAAGCTGCCTGTCAGGATTCCAGAGTCCCCAGGAATAAGCCTGGTTTATTACCCCTGCTGTACTCCCTCAATGGCTGGTGGAAGGCATGGTCTTGCACTAGCGGTGGTGATGGATTTCAGAGAGCAGTTGGGGCCATCCGTCAGTCACTCCTATGGATCATACTTCTAAGAAGAACCTTCTCATGGCCATCTATGGTAGCTCTGTAATGTGTTACTCTTGGCCTAACCTAAACTACATTTCCCAGGATTCCCTTCCTCACATGTTTCTGGTGAGATGGGACACGAAATATTTTCATACATGAGTAGGAGGGCACGAGTGAAGCAGCAGCCATTTTGTTTTTCACACTCAAGTTGAGGTAGGAGCTCTTGTAGATCACACATGTTACTATCTGCTGGCTCACTTCACTGTCATGGGACAACAGCTGGGCCCATGGACTTCA